AGTTTTAGGCGGGGTGTTACAGTTGGTATCAGAGCCACTTAGTGGTTCTGTATACTAAAATTTTAGTGAGATATGACCACACCACGCTCACGCCACGCCGACTCTGAGGTAAGTCACCTGTACAATTTTTATTTGCGAATGCATATTTAATTATATTCAGATTATTTCAGGGGCGTTAGATCTATCCTTTAATTAAGATTTGAGAATTCTAGTCAGAACTCTAGTAAGAACTTAGAAGATTATAGTGTAACCGGAACTCTAGCCAAGCTAGGTGTTTTCGGAATTCGATAGATTATTAAAGTATAGTGTAGCTATTTATTAATCGGCTATACTGTTTCGGTCAGAATTTCAACAGAGTCTATTATTTGTACGCTCTTCCGTTGACTTTTCAGAGGATGGAGTGGAATATAACTCTAGTAACAACCTCGATTATGTTGTGGGCAAGTACATTTTTCTACGTATCGAGGATAGTCGTGGTGATATATTGACGCCATAAGATCGAATTCAAACCTTAGAATTAAGACTGAGTAAATTATACATTCCAGTAAATTTTGCCAGAAATGGCAAAACCTAACAAGCAATAGCTGACCCAGGATCAACAAGGAGGAGGAAATGCCAGCGCCTACGCTCGTCACCACTAGAATCAGAAGTCCAGAAGACTTAAGAAGATGCGTGTAGTTTAATTATCTCTATTCCGTGAACCCGCAATACTTTTGTTGTGGGAATTTCTCCATGCTTTTGAAACTCCGTTAAAAATTCAAGTTGAGACCAAAATTTCAGTGCATTTCTAATGTAAGCAAAGAACGAGTTATTTCTATAATTTGACACTTGCGAAAGTTAGATTATCGCGTCGATAGATTGCAACACATAGATAAAGCAGTGGACTTTCCATTGCTTGAACTATGTGAGTTTTAAGTTAAGTTATAACTCTAGAGGTTACCTCACTTGAGTTGGCAAGAGCCTTTCAGCTAGTATAAGAAGTAATAGTTTTTCAGTGTATAAGAATCATAGATCTGGGTAAGTCCTGGAGGCTTGAAATAAAAGCCATGAGTCCGGGAGGAACCATGGAGGCTTGAAGCTGAACCATAGCAGACATTTTTCCATTTGAGGTGATCTCTAGTAGTTAGAGGAAGAGGAGACCCAATTTAAAAGAAACTAGAGCGAGGATTGCACGTTGAGTTATGTTTTGACTCCGTCACCCAAGGAAGTTCCAATAGTATGAAAATACTCAGACGACAGTTCGCAGGGGATTTAATGAAAGTCGAGTGGGAGTTAGCAACCACCATGATTTAAGAAGGAGAACCAACTTCCGCATACGTAGAAGTCGAGATAGCATGTCTAAGAAGACGAAGAATTATCAATTTTGCGTACCTGTGCCGAATGCCACAACTCTCGAGTTGGAAGTTGTGGGCAGATGGACGATATGCCGATAGGAAAATTCTAGAAGTCGTGAAGAGAGAGAGAGAGACAAAGAGAATACTTCACTGACAACGTCCGGAGAGTTAACCATTGTTTGCAATCACGTGTACGTATTTTCAAAAATGTTACCGAGAAGACCACCTAACCGACAAATGAAATTCGATCGACCTGTTGCTGGAGTAGGACTAGCGCCCAAAGCGCCAAACCGAGAGATTCCACGAAGCTACAAGAGTTGAAGGCCCAGACGCCAAGAAGCTGCAATAGCTGAAGACCCAGACGCCGAGAAGCTACAAGAGCTGAAGACCCAGACGCCAATAAGCTGCAAGAACTGAAGACCCAGATCCGAATTGTGAATTGTTGGACCAAGAGCGTCACCCTAGGGTGCGCCCGATGGTTCGTGAAGAAAGAAGATGTGCACCAATTACCAAAAGTTATGTAGACTCAAGGAGGAGAGTAAGTACTCACCTTTGAGAGTCGAGAAGTTGTTGACCCATGCGAGAAGACAACAAATTCCAAGAATGAATTTGAAGCTCGGACATCCTCTATGAGAAGTTGAGGAGCCCGAGGCCTCAAGATCATAAAGCACAAGAAAGTTGAGGTGATGAAGTCATCTCTAAGTACTAGTGGTGTATGACATCACTAGCTTTATATTAGACGTTGAGGGAAGAAAGAACAGAAAAGCCTCAACATTTAAATTTTATGTACCCATGGGTAAATTTTACCCATATAAGTATTGAGACCCTCGATTTGTATCAGGAAGAAGTTAGATCCAGTAGTAGTGCGCCGAGTT